TATATTTTTGTATTCTAAAAACTTGCAGAGGAATTCACAGTATTTGTTTTTCAGCCCTGAGTTGTGTCTGCAGATCACACTCTCAGTAAAACCTGAATAAAGTTTACATCACTATACAGAACAGAGTTTAGGTGCAGATTGAGTTTATGTTCTCTTGTCTGATTTTCCATGTGTGGCAATAACACAGTGTGCATGAAATGCTCTTTTAGTATTGTGACATGAGTATTGTGTAATGGAGGGATAACACAGTACAAATTCGGGCAGCTACAGTGTTTGTAGTCTGTTTATTTCTTCAGCAACAATGAGCTCGTCATGATTTATTCACACTATATGTTCAAGTGTGTGTTTGTTCATGTGTGAGCACTAATCTCCTTAACGAGGTTGTTGAGGAATAATTTAGCAAAGGAATGGTTTGTTTGCATGATGTCATGTATTGCTCCGTGCCTGTGAAATAGTGCTACGTGTTTGATACAGAATCTATCTTTAGGGCGATTATCTTGGGTCGGACTTGAGGAGAGAAAACGAGATACGAGTTAGCCCAGGTAAATGTCACAAGTGTGATATTAAGAACATGTAGAAAAAAAGGGGTGATAAGAATGAGTGGACGTGTGTAGGACTGGGGGAACATACATTAAGAGGAATGATGCTTACTTGGCGCTTGTTAAATAATAAAGCCAAAGCATCATTGAAATCAAGGTTATTTTTTTTAAATCACTTGACTGAGGTTGCTTGACGTATTTTTACCTGCAAATCACCAACACTCCAACAGTCCTGTGCAGTTATCAGCTGCTCCATCAATAAACTTCACTGAGAAAGTTCACAAAAACAGAAAATGCCAAGTAAACCCCACAGGCCTCTGCTGCATGAAAGTAATCTAACTTTAATTTGTCTCTATTAAATACAGACGGTTGCATTCTAAGCTAAATGTCGACAGTGGACCATCATATGGCCACTGAAGACCAGCGTCTGCTGAGCTGTAATTACCTAAATTACACTTGGGATCAGATTTTTATGAAATGCTCGTGTTCAATCTCACAAAGCACAGAATTGATGGATGAGATTATTGTTGATTTGTAATCAAACGCTAGCAAGTTAATGCTGGCTGTGAGTTTTAATTCTCGTCCAGATTGTGGAGGTCGAGCGAAATCGACAATTTCTGATTTTTTTTCCCCCTATAAAGCTTTGTGTCATAATCAATTTCAAACTAATGTTTTGAAACCGAATAACTTCCACATTTGGATCACCTAATTTGTTCGAGGGAGAAACTGCCAAACACAATTATGCTAAACATCACAATTCAGCGTAAACGTGCTCAGTTCTGCTCGGTTATGGCGGCGTCGCTTTAGTGCACAAAACTTACATCAGCAAGTGAAAAAAAAACCGCCAACACGAATGAAATATTTCTGTAACATATCTTCTCATCAGACAGCACTGATCTGTTTGAATTAGCAGGATTTATCCAGGCCGTCACTCACTGCTGCTGTTTCTTTGAATCCCCTTTACCTCCTCTCTCCATGAGCTGAATCCTCGGGTAGATGTGATGATTACTTTTCAGTCCATGGCTCTTACCTGGCTGACACCCCCGAGCTGTGTCTGCACATTCAGTTAAGCTAATGTCCTGTAAAAATTCTATTAATGCAGCGCCACAATGCTCATTTTCTTTCTATTTCCTCCTGATATTCTCTTCATTCTTGATTTCTATCGCCCCCTCATTCAACCCAATCATTCCTCTGCTATCTTTCTCATTTCTCTCGCCGTCTAATTGCCCTTTGTGCCTCTCCTACTCTCTGAAATTCTCTTGGCGTTGTTGCTTTAACGCATCGCATGGGTCAATTTAATCAGGTGCTGCTGAGTGCAAGATTCAGTCACATAAAGTGAGGTCACTGTGAAAAGAGCCCATTTATATTAGATGGTCTATGGAATTAAATTAGACACAGATCAGTTACACACGGTGTAGGTATTCCTCTGTCTTTCTTCTTCACCTGTGCTTGTGCTTTTTAAAATCATTTTGCAAGACAGCAGCGGAAAAATCGGAGGAGCGATAGCCGAAGGATGGCGAGGAACGACTTTCCCCCTAATGAATTCCATTTTCAATCCCGTTTTTCATATAAAGAAACCAATTTCATTAAGTTGCCGGGTTTATTTAACATCAGCAAATCACAGCAACGCATTTGACATGGTTTCCATGGCAGCACAGAAAGCCATGACCCAATTTCATGTCTACAGCATAGTTCATGTGTGTGTTCATACTGTTGTATATGTGCATGGAGCAGACACACACACGCACACACACACAGACACACACACACAAAAGCAATTAAACACAAACTGACACAGACCATCTTGCCGCCTCAACTTTCCCCTCTCCCCTACATCTCTGTCTTTATCTCTCATTTCTAATTTCCTTTCCTTCTGTTTTCTACTCATCTCTCTCCCAGTCAATCACTCAGTGAAACACACGCACACACACACACACACACACACACACACACTCATCTATAGTTTTGTTCTTCTTCCTCGTATATGCTTCATACCTGTGATAATATTTTAGAGTATTTTCACCTTGACGACTATACATTTGTTGAAAAAACTGATTAAGCAGATGAATGAGAACGAACCTCAGTGAGAATAAATTAAAACATGCTTTAACTAACTCCATCATTTGCATTTTAAATCTGTAAAATCTGATTTGAGTGGGTGTTTTAGAGATTACAGAGATTCACATGCAAAGGGTTAAAAAAGTTTGGCAGCAGGTTTTCATGGACTCAGTAAACGTGTCTGATTCTGCAGATGCTTTTCCTTTCTTCATGTGCTACTTCTTTGACCCCTCGCCCTCCTCTGATGCAACTCCGGCGGGCCTTATTATGATTGAGAGATAATATGCATTGCCTGAAAATAAACAGAAGGCGGTTTCCATTCCGATCATGTGCTGTCTCTGTGTTTGTATTTCTGACGCTGCCTCCTCCTCTCTGTCTTTCAATATTCCTCTTAGTTCCTCACTTCACCAGCTTTAGAGTCAAGCAGGTTAAATTGATCATGTTTTTTTTTTTTGCCATCTTTCAAACTACAATGTGTACTTTTATTCATGCTATTCTTTTTATGTGTACTATTCTATTCATTCCAAGTATCGGAGCAGAGAAGACAGACTCTAATATCTGTTATTAATTGAATTATTTTGACTGAAATCCAACATGCATTTTTACTGTCTCTTCCTATTTGTGTGTGTCTCCGACTAATTGCCTTTGACCCTGAGCTGTATATAGTTCCCACGTGTGCTGTGTATTTAATGAACATGAAGGAGAACAGAGGGTTTTCTTTTTTTCTTTATAAAATTAGATTAAGGATCAAACCACGTATCTGCTTTTGATTCAAACTCTATTTCCAGGAACTCTGGACAGTACGTCTTCCTCAGAGGTTCAATCAGTGGTTTTCATTGTTTTCCAGGAACCTTGTTGGTGGAGAACATGCAGATAAATGGCGTGGCCGAGGGTCCGGATCGTACCATCTCTCTTTCCCTAAGGGACAACCACGACTACTGGGTGATTCTCGACCCTTCCAAGCAAGCCCTTTATCTCAACAGCACTGGACGCCTTCTGGATAGAGATGTAAGGCACCTGAACAATTTCATTCTTTTTCATTTACCATCTATGAGTTTTTCATTTTTTACAGTTTTATATCTTGTTCAGCTTTGGCTTCTTATTCTGAGACAGAAGCTGATATATTTATGAATCTATGGCTCAGGCCCTGCTGCTGAATTTAAAATCTAGAGCATATTTAAATAGGATGTTGTTTCAACAGATACACAATAGTTTCTCTTTTTCACTTTATCACAGAGGGTGAATATTGTGGAAGTGAATGTTTTCCAGCAAATACAAATGTTTTTGCTCCATTTTCTCTGCATCAGCCTTATGTTGATATTTGAATAAAGTAAATGCAACACATTGTTTTTCATGATCACCCTCTACTCTAAATTTAAATATACATTAAGGTGGCAGTCATCGTTTTCTTTTAATTTCCGACTAATTAATTAAGATGCATCAATCAAAAATCACTATCTGTGCCTCTGTTATTGTCTTTCCCAGCCCCCCTCATATATTCAGTCCATCGTGGTTCAGGTTCAATGTACCAACGAGCTGATCGGCACCGTGATTTTACACGAGGTCCGCATCGTCGTTCGAGACCGCAACGACAATGCTCCGCGATTCCAGCAGCCGAGATACTACGTGGCTGTGAGCGAGGTAAAAACAATCACACACATGCAAAACGGCAAACATTTATTTCTCACAGAGACATTCAGTGTGACAGAAACACTCAACCATCTTTCACCTGAGCTGCACTCATCCTGCATCATGATCGAGGGCACAGGGCAGATTTGCAGAAACACCAGTCCAGCAGGAGGACGAGAGATCGGCCGAGCTTTTCTCCGTGCGATAGAGATGACACAGAGACGGCCTGCATTCTGAAAAATGTTGCCTGGCATAGCTGGGTGCTGCAGTGTGTTTTAAATAAAAGAAGACTCCACCAAGTAGTATTGTACATGGCGTTTTGCTGTCAGACTAAAATTAAAGGCAGCACAGCGTAGGCAAAGTTTCTGAGCAGCTGTGGAAAGGATCTAAATCTGTTATTCCGAGGCTTCCAGAATAGTCTTTACAATGTCAATCCCACATTTAGTGTGTCTCCGTGGCCCGGGGAGGCAGATTTGAACTAGAAGAGGTTGAGACTTTAACTGGACAAGGATACATGTAGCCCACTGCCAGCGCAACCTTAGGCGGACCCAGTAGAAAATCTCATTATACAGTCTTCCACAGCCTGTCCAACTCGATCTGTCTTCTCAACCTCTCTCTTTCTCTCTCTTGGCCTCTCCTCTGTTTTTGCGGCTTTGCCCTCCCTCCCACCTCCTCCACTTCCACTGCCCCTGCACAGCTCCCTGCTCTTCATTAAGTCACCTTTCCTCAACCTCCCCACCTTTCCTCTGCCACTCTCTATGTACCTCTGATAGTCTTTTTTCTCTCCCCTCCTTCACCCTGCCACCTCGTGCACCGCTTCAGTTTCTCATTGCTCTCACGAACAAAATGCACTTGAAGCACCACCGTACAATGAAACCTGTGCCATGCCAAGGCTAATGTGGTCCGTTTGGTGGTAATGATACTGTATAATAATAAAAAAGTGAATATATTTATCCCGAATTTGTGCAATAATTTAAAAGCTGGAGCAGATTTATTCAGATATGAGCGCAGACCTGCTCATTAGCTAGAGATCTATTGGCTAATTCACTTATATTGCCCCTAGAACTCCCACCACCCAATGCAGTAAATTTCATATTGAGCGAGGGACTCAGGAGTTCATCCAGCTTTATCTACATTACACCAGCTTCAGTTGTCAATAATCTAACAATTGTTAAGAGCAAGAAAGAGATGCAGACAGATGAAAACACACGGGGAGGCAATACGGTTATTTATAATTTATGTCAAGGATAGAATTTATGAGCTCACTGTGAAAGTTTTTTCCGGTACAAGGTGATCCCTGTGGCTGATTTCATGAGCTGGCACCGAAGCCCGAGTGTAGAGTTGTTTCATTAGAGCCGCATCCAGAAGTGGCAAAGTGACAGCATAAGGCGTTCTGAGGACCATTGTTAGATCAGTGGGAGGCATAGATAACCCTGTTGAGGGAAATGATGTAACAAATCACTGGTGCAGCAGCTAAATTAAACCTAATCTCAAATGTTTCTTGCGCTGTCTGGAGATTAGACTTAAGTTCTGACACCTAATCACAGATCCCGAGGCACATGGCGGCACAAAAAAAAAAAAACAGCACAGCAATTTGTGCTTGGCAAAGTTCTTCCTTTCATGTGCAGTGGAAAGTGTTCAACTCTAACACAGAGAATCCCTCAGAAATACTTGTATCTAACCGAACATCGTTCTGAATATCTAGCAACTCGTTCCTCTACCGTGAAGACAGAGATACTACTGTATGTGCTGGTGCATATATGCAGGTATTAAAGTTAGTTTTAAAGCAGGAATTTAAGGCAAAATCTAAGTATTTACATTGGAAACAAAGACTAATATGGTATTTACACTGCACTATACGAATATTTTAGGCCATACTGACTACACATCATGTACACTACATAATATACTACAGGCTACTGCTTACTAATGTCTCTGTTTGCTATCTCCAGCCACTGTAACACTTAGTATATTTAAATTATTTATAACAGCTGATTATATATCTGACTAGAGATATTTGTTCTGGTTCTTAAATATCTCCCATTTTTAAAGGTAAAACAATAAATCATCAGTTACCTGCCACAGCAATGGTATCGACACATAAATCAAACCTTTCCAAATCTATGCTTTGAGAAATGTTGCTTTAGCTGCTTCTTCCAACTCCTCTGCTGTTGAGAACTCATTAATTTTGTTCATTTCACTGTGAGAAGGGAGGCAGTAATAAGCTATGGCTAATCTATTTTAACAGTGGCTCGTTATTTTATAACCACAAGCATTCGGTTCCAATATGTTTCTGTGTTATTTCGTTCCTCTGAACTCAAACCCCAGTGTGAAGATGCTGATGCTCTCCACTGTCACAAGTGCTCTTAACATACCATGTGTGATTTTCTATTACCGAATTCTCCGCTTTTACTCTTCACGTTAAAACTTTTATGAGATGGGGCAATGAGGTGTCGCTAATATTCACGGTGGTGAGATGGAGAAAGGCACCAAGGGAAGAGACACTGGATGAACTGAGCTGCCTGCATTTCATTCCATTTGCAGTGCAAATCAAAATACACCAACTACTGCACTTCCTTCTCCAGCCCCATTTCAGCGCAATAAGCATAAAACAGCAAGTCTTTTTGTGTTTGTTTTGTAGAAACAGTGGGGTACTTAGACTCCCCATGGACAAACACGTATGAAAATCTTTTTAATGTGTCCTGTCTTTATCTCTGCCGCATACCGACAGCAGATTCAAAGACAAGACACAGCAGTGTGGGATAGGAGCTGTTTAATGTCTGTGGTAAAGAGTTTGAGTCTTTGACGACTTGTTGCGGGAGCTTGTAGACAAAGATGCTGAGATTCTGTTGTTTTTCTTTCAGTTGACACCAGTTGGAACCACGATCTTCTCTGGTTTCTGGGGGAACAACGGGGCAGCGGACATCGACGACGGCCCCAACGGACAGATAGAGTATACGATCCAGTACAACCCAAAAGACCCGGTAGGTTATCTTTCTGCCTAACGAACTCCTCTGTGCCTCAGAATGTCGTGTGGTTTTGCACCTTTTTTTTTGTAAATTTGTCATAGCTGAATGAAAAGTCTGGGAAAAGCCTGTATGTTGTCATATTCATTCATTTTGCTGTTATGTAATATTATATAGCAGCTTTATACCTCCAGTGATGTGTTAAATACAGTAAATAGCAGCATGAACAAATTCATAACTTGAAATCAAAGACATTAATATGCCTTCAACTGTAATATGTACTTTCTGATCATAATATGATAATCATAATAATATTGTAAACATATGATGGTTTGGAGGTTTCAATAACAGATGCTGTGTATGTATCTGCACAATCCTCCTGCAGAGGACAGGAGAGAGAGAGAGAGAGCATGTCCTCCTGATCTTTTCCATTCTGGCCGGTATTTACCGCGTGTCTCTGACCACATCTCTGCTCTGATCCCATGTTTTGCTTTGGGTCCTGCCAACACAAAACCCGCAGGAGCTACTGGACGCTCACCTGCACACACAGATTCCATGTATCTGCACACGCGTCACTGGGTTGGTAGCAGAATTGACGGGTTATTAATGGGATGGTTTTCTTTTATATGGAAGGTCATCCCCCTCATACACCTGCAAATCACCAACTGATGAGAACTGAGGTTTTCAGCCCTTAAGTATCGATGGAAATGATACTCAAGGGCTGAATCATGAGCCGAGTTACTATTAGAATATAATATTTCTCTCGCTACTTTGTTTTGAAGCAGATTCCGCTTGACTCCCTACTTTTTATATTTTATATATCTTATCCCCTTTGCTGTGAAACTCCAGTATTCATAGTAACTCGGTATAATAAAGAATGCAGGTTCATAATAATGAAATCACACTCTAGGCTCGCTGATAGAGGAATACAGTCGCTCCTACACTCCTACAAAGAGTTTATCTTTAAACTGCACCATTGACCCTGTAAGACACTCACAGCGCTTGTGTTTGTATTGTGTGTGTGTGTGTATGTGTGTGCGTGTGCGTGTGTGTGTTTCAGACAGCCAACAGGACCTTCGACATCCCGCTGACACTGTTTGGCTCTGTGGTCCTAAGAGAAAGACTCAACTACGAGGAGATAACACGGTACCTGGTCATCATACAGGCTAACGTAAGTGTGCTTTCATATTGTAAAAAATAAAATGAAATAAAAAATAAATTGACTCCTTCTCCCCTGCGAACCTTTGAGGATAGGCAGTACAGAAAAATGAATGAAAAAAATAAGTTGGGTTTTCATCTGTGGCTGAAAAAAATAAAGTGTCTCCAGACTGAGTGGGAGAATAATCTCCAGCCTAAAGTTAAATGTTATCTTTATGTACACTTGTATTATTATGGTAACATCACAGACAGACTATTTCTGCTCGGCTGAATCAGCCTAAGGGAAGTGTAAGAGCATCCTTAATTATCACTAATGTCTTTCTTAATATTGTTTTTCTCCTTTTCTTTCTCAGCACATTATGTGTTTTATTTATTTAAGTGGTTTAACAGCACGACATATACATTTCAGTCAATGTGCAAAACGGACTCTTGGGGAACAGTTGGATCTGAGGTTTGACAGAAAATTATTTAATTTGCTGATTGGGCCATTAAGCTTTTTGTTGTGACACTGAAACCTCGCTCACAAAGTCTTCTGGCAAACAGTCATATTTCTTCAGGCCCATTTAGCCTGGAAACATTATTAAAAGTCAACAGTACTCTGAAAGACGAATGTGTTTCTGACTGCTTGAAAGCCTGACATATTCACTCTTCATCTTAATACAATATTAAGAGTGTTTTGAGTGGCTTCGACTTAGAATATAAATTCTCAGAAAATACTTGGAGATGTACAAGAAGGTAAAACAACCTCTTGAAAAAAGATTTTTGTAGGTAAGTGTTGCATGAGGGGAAAAATGAAGCACTAATTGCCTGAAACTCATAAACTTATAACCTCATCAAAAACAAAATGAAAATATCTTTTAATGACTTATCATATGTCTACTACATAGTGGTGTGGTGATTAGAGCTGTCAGCTCACAGCAAGAAGGTTTTTGGTTCCTGGGGTCTCCGTGTTTCATGCTCTCCACATTTTTGCTTTATTTGATACAAGGCGACCTTGTCCGGGGTCTAGCCCCCCTCTTGCCCAACGTCGGCTGCGATTGGCTGCAGCCCCTCCAGTTAAAGGAGAATACATAATTAATATTTAATCAACAGATTTATAGCTTTTATCTTGTTTGGCTAATTTTCAAGTTAGTGAGGAGACGGACGGAGAAAGGCATCAAGTGTTCCTCCTGTTGCAGCTGCCTTTGTAATTTGATCTAATTCAGCAAGTAATAAGTGACACAAGGTCTCTTCACCAACGAGTGTGTACATGCACATTCATAAACGTGTGTTCATTTACTTTCAGTGTCCCACTGTTTCACTATTTCAGCTGAAGGTCTTCTTCTATAGAGACACTTAACACTGTGTAAACATTTTGTTCATTTCCAGGTGATATGTTCTTATGCTGGTTTTTATTTTCAAAGTCTTTTCAGGACCACACTGTAGAAACATTCAGATTGTAGATTATTACTGGGAGCAAGGGTTTTACAAATGTCAAATGAATCAATATGTAATTAAAGCGTAGTATGATGTATTATTGATGCGTGAAACTGAGAAAGGGGGATACAGATGAGGGACGTACAGTATAACGGTATATAGTTAAAGGTTTTATTTTATAAAATTACAGTAAAACTGGAATGTTGGAGTTTGGACAAAACCATTTTTAATTAATTTATCAATAAGGAATAAATAAGAATTTAAACTTAATTGGTTTGTGGTTGTTCATGGTTATTCAGTGAATGGGCACAGGCAGGAGCACAGAAACTGTCAGTGAAGGCATCTTATTTTATTGTTTTATTTAAAATCCAATTACTTTCCATCTGTGTTTGTCAGATTAATAAATTATTATGAATCGAATGTACTTTTATATATAAATGAATGTTCTTGAAGCTGCGTCTGACTCCTGAACTTTCTTTGGCCACTTATTTAACAGCAAGATATAGAAGTGGAAGTTCCATAACGATTATTTATTACTCAAACTTTATAATTAATATCATCTTCTGGTCGAACAATTTCAACAAATTAGTTTTTCTTTTTGTGAGTTTTTCAAGGAATTTCAAATCTGTGTATTCTCTGCTTACTTTACCAGCTTTTGTACGACATTGTTAATGAAATTAATTGATGTAACAAGCAGAGTATGTTTGTCTGTATCCTGTTGGGCCGTCTATTCAGAGCTGTGCTGAGATGAAGCTGTTATAGAAGCAATAAAAAACCTGTTTAGTTGCTCTTAATGAGGTATAAATAGACTCTGACGGCTCTGAGAGTTCCCGGCAGCTTTGATGATGTCCTGAAAATATTCAGCTGAACTAACAGGTCACTCGTTATTCAAGATTTGAAGATGAAGATGTCCAAATAGAAGATCGTGCAGAATCAACTCAAAATCAAATTCTCTCTCTCTGTCTCTCTGTCTCATAGGACCGGGCCCCCTACCCTAGCGAGCGCCGCACGGCCACCACCACTCTGACAGTGGATGTGCTGGATGGTGACGACTTGGGTCCCATGTTTCTGCCCTGCACGCTCGTGGGAAACACCCGTGACTGCAGTCCCATCACGTACAAGACTAACGTGCTGGAGCTGACAGAGCCGGTGAGTCTGAGCCCTTTATGGAAATATATATACAGTTTTCTATCTATACGTTATGTGCAGGGGCCACGTTTGTGTAAATGTGCATCCCACCATTTGCACTATTTTTAGTAGACAACAGTGCTTTTAGTGCAAGGTTAAGATTAGACGTTGAGGTTAAGATTAGACGTTGAGGTTAAACGTGAACTTTCATCTCTCGGGGCTCATCCACACCATTTTTTTTATTTTCTGACATCATCCGTGTGTGTGCACAGCTGTTCAGTATGTCAGGTTTTTTTTTTTTTTTTTTTACTGTTGAAAAGGTCACTGATGATTTCATGTTTTTTTTTTGTACAAGGTGTTAATGTCCTGAAAAACACGTGTTACAAGAGTGAGTCTGCCACACTGTCATATGTTTTTATGCTTACACAGCTCTATTTATTTATATATATATTTATACTTGTGTTTCTTGGGCATTTAGCTGATGCTGTTCTCCAGAGCGACTCGCAGCATCACTTTGTAAATGAGACAAAGTTGCTGCAGGCAAAATCCCCAACTCCGACAACTCAGCAGAGCATTCATCCCTTAACACACACAGACACACACACCCTTTATGGTGACAAGCTGGCAGTGTGTTCATGCTCTAACACCCCCCACCACACACACACACACACACACACGCATGCACACGCACGCACACAATCAATCACCTACATACACACACACATACACAAAAAGCCATAACAACGTCAATGTCAATTCACAACTGAACATTGTCTACGTTGTCTCTTTGTCTATATTGAGGACTTTCTCACATGTACACACATACACACACACACACACACACACACACACACACACACACACACACACTCACTCACTCTTCCCTGCCAAGAGATGCACTGCGAGGGACAACAGGAGTAAATCAACTTTACACACCTCATGGTTTTGAGAAGGAGAAAGTGAATGCAGGCAAGGACGGGGTTTATGATGGAGAGGTACGTAGAGGTGGGAGTGTGAAGGGGAGACGTGAAGGCAGACACACACACACACACACACACACACACACAGATGTCACGCTCGGAAAATACTTAAGGGGTTCTAAAATGTGAAGCGTTCCATAAAACATGTTGCATCTCACTCAAAAAATTGGTTCTCAGTTGTCAATTGGCTCCCAATACCGAACTTCTAAAGACTGCAGACGCTTCACTGATTTCAATATTTATGACCCCACGGCATCACAGGATAGACTAGATTCAGCACCTCGTGATTGAACGCCTCCGCTAACCGGTCAAGTTGAAGTTTACATCCATGTCTAATTAGACTGGTATAAAATATGTAGTGAAGACTGAAATCGTATATAAGGTATTTTTATCAGAATTAGCATATGAGGTTTTGAGTTATGGTCTAAATATGTGAGGCTGCACCATGCGGATGTGATGCGAGGTATTAGCACAATGCTACGAGGTGCGTAAAAGCAACCTTTAAGTTTTTGGGGCGACCATGATACTCCCAAGCAGAGAAGGTTGTGCACTAATTTAAAGGTTTGATCCCCAGCTCCTTCTCTACGCACTTCAGTACTGAAGTGTTCAGATAGAGAACCTTCATATCAACGCAGTCCATTAACCATTTAACATACCCCATTGACCAATTTGCATCGGCAGGTGATGATTCACTTCTTCTCTAATCCTGAAACCTACTGCAAAAACACTGAAGCTAATTTTTTCTTTAACATCCATAGACTTCAACTGAATTATTTCAGATCGTTGGAATAAATGCATGTTTGTGCCAACAGCAGGAACTCTGCCATTAGATTTGCCTGAACGCACTCTCATTTATTTAAAGCAGCAATGTCTCTGGGGCCCGGTTTGATTGATTATGAGTAGACTTTGAAGCTGTGTGATAAGAGAACCCTGATACGTTCTGCTCGAATGAACCCCATCGTAGTGAGTGAAGGTTAGTGTTCATGTTTACTGGATGGATGGATGGATGGATGGATGGATAGATGGATATATGGAGAGATGGATGGATAGATAGAAAGAAAGAGGTGGAAATACCAAGCAAGTTGAAAGTCCACAGCTGCTTTTGGTGTGGTAAAACAGAGGAGGTGAAGTGAGGAGAGGAATGAACGAGTCAAAGCGAGATAACAGTTTGAGTCCTAATCAGACAGATAAGATATGACAACCTCACAGCCTCAGAGCCAAAAGAACTACTCTACTCGTTCTCCCTCGCACACCCACACACACAGATGCCGGTCATTTACGCAGAGCAGTCGGCTGTCAGGCCGCGTTCACACATTTACTTCAAAAGTCTTGCAGCCTCTAAAAAATAGATTATTGAACAGCCTAGTAAACAACTCTCCCAACACCTGACGAATCATCCACTTTGCTATTATGTCACGCAGGCAATTGATTGGCTACAGGCAACAAGACGCTGAACAAAACATCAAACACATCGCTTCATGCCGTAGCTTTATTTTGCGGCTGCTGTTTTCCATGTGGCCTTTATGGCTCTGCAGCACTGCGGCTCGCTGCAGCGTGGAAACAGCAACCTGTTCTTTTTTTAGTGCAACAGGGGAGCGCTGTATCTCTGTGCTGTCTGCACCACGAACAACATGGCGGTCGCATAACTAAGTGGTTGACGGTCGACTTGTCTCTCTCCCACGAGCGCAATGCATGATGGTATTGCTCGGTTAGTGGCAACCGGTTATGTACCGCTTTTCATGATGCATTGTGGGAAACAATGAGTGCACTAAACATACGGACATCACTACCAAATGGCTAATTCGCCAAATACTGATTAGTAAGTAATTTCGGACAGAGCCAAAGCCTCCACTAACCACTAGGGGCCCTCAGGGGTGTTTGCGTGCTCGATTAATGTCCTGGACGCTCTCGGTATCAACCACCTGCACGCACAGCTGCTTCCCACACTTGCCAGGTGGTGGTGTAGGGCCGTTCTAAACGGAGGAGCTCATGTGTGCCTGGTACCTATTATTTCATGTCCTGCATGTTTCTGCCAGTTGAAGCTTGGAAAGGCCAGAGAGGAAAGAGACTTTCAGTATTACCCGCTCAGCTTGACGTTTCTGCTCGGGGGGTCCACATTCTCGGTCTGTACCATTAATTCAGTCCTGTTTGTTAGGCTCTCCCTGAGTGATCTAGTTCTGCCAAGCCTAAAGTTGGTGGTTGTGAATTAGTGGCATCACACAGTTTGCTTACATGCTCTGATAACCCGAGTTTTAAAAGTTGAATATTTGCTCTTTTCTTGTTTGTCTTTGCTCTCGAACTGTCGTCAGTTTGTGCTTTAACTGTTGATTGGACAAAAAAAGCCATTTGATCAAATAAACATGGACGCTAATGGGTTGTTTTTTTTATTTTAATGTTGGAATGTGGAAATGCTAGAGACCAAATCATACACAAAAATACTCATTCATTAGTCATTACCTCCACCAAGGACTGTTTGTGTGTCTTCTAGCAGGATTATGCAACAACTACTGGAACTCGGTGTAAGTTTGGTATAAACCAAGAAAGAATCCTAGTTACATTTTGGTGCAGATTTGGACAAAAGGGCAGATTCAGGAATATTTGACCTCTTTCTTTAACATTGTGTGATCGGGTCTTTTTTGACATTTCCACTGATTTCCACAGGGATAGTAAATGGATCAGGCATATTAGGGGACTGATATCTGAGTGTGTGCAATGTGGTGCAGCCTGATTGAATTCAAGGGGACTGTTGGGCCTTGGTGAAGGTATCCGCTCTACTGAGTGCCATTCTAGTTATTACATCTTATGGCTTACACTCACGCGTGACCATTCAAATTGTCCTTAGTGCCATCTCTTGTAAAGAATTATCATAAAGAACACCACAGTAATGTCATGCTCATGCTACTTCCAGGTCTGCAGATGAAAACTAAAGGTTAAACTATAAATATTGAAACAATAAAAAGGCTGGTGTGATGTGAATATACTGTAACTCACAGTAAAACCTCAGGCCTGTTTAAATGCAAAGGTCTGTTCTTGTTGAGAAAAGCAGAATCAAATAAGTGTGAGTGTGACATTGAGCCTTCCAGGACACCAGTGTATTTATATTTCTTAACTTTTTATCCATGTGGACTCGATTGATGATTTTCATTAGATTCTCAGTGACCTGGCCTTCTTTCGCTGATCCGCCCCCCCCCTCTAGCGTTTACGTCTCTGTCTGCTCCCTGTTTACCCTGAACTCCTGACAGATTCATCTCCCCTTCCATATATTTACACCCTCTTTTACTCCGCTTCATTACTCGCCATAACTTCCTCTCTGCCGGCGTCCCCCTCCTCTCCTCTCCCAGTGACAGACAGCAGGAGATATAGCTCTGTGATGGCTAGTAGATTTTAAGTGCTGCATGACAGGTGCTGTGGTAAACTATTGTATCATAGCGGGAGTATGGAATTGTCTACGGTGTGTGTGTATATGTGTGTGTTTTCATTTGGGAATACGTGCAGTCTTCCTGGTCTGCTTGGTTTGACATTTTACAGCTTTGGTGATAGTAGATTTTACCCTACAGACAGTTTCTCCCACTGGGGGTCTTGGTATCACACACCTCAGCATATTGCACTATTATAAGTCAACGTTACAGCAGAGCCGCTCTCGCATACAGATGCAGATCCACACACACTCACAGGCTCAGTGTGCGTATACACAGAAATGGAACAAATACGTTATATATGCACAATCTAAATGGGTCCTAATTGTTGCTGCGAGTTGTGATTTTTATTTCACAGAATGTAATGGTGGTGTCGTTTCTTTAATGCTCTGTGTGTGCTGCACTTACACCGAATTATGTGTGGGCGTGTGTTTGTGATTTAAAGTCAACCACAGTGTGTTTTTGCCAACAATTGATTTTTTTTTTTGTTTATCTCTCGCTTGCTCTGCTGGCACGCACAGAGCTTGTTGTACCATGAATACATTAAATAGCATCTGTAAAGCTTAATATCGAGGAATAACTAAATCAGACAGACCACCACTGTTTGTTTCAGGAAAGTGTTAAAACCTCCAAACCTGTTTTATTTTTGTTTCAGGTTAATTGTCAGATTCTGTGATCTCATTTGTCATATTTATAGGAAGTGGCTCTGACTGAGTTTTATCATTCACATTGGTTCTGTCCTCAGAATAAGGTGAATCCTCTCAACGTGACTCCACCAATTCAAGCTGTGGACCAAGACAGAAACATCCAACCTCCGTCCGAAAGACCAGGAATCTTATACTCCATCCTCATTGGTAGGTTGTGTCCTTTCTGGGTTTCAGGCTGGGCGCTAGGATGATGTACATGAGCGGGGGTGCTTGATAGCGAGATTAGATCTTTGTATTAAATGAGCAAAAATGTGATGATGTAACTCGATGTGATTCTTAATTTGCTTAATACAGATAATTGTAATTATATATTATAGATTATTTCTCCACACAGCATGACCCCTTCTCCAGGACAATCTCACTGATGTGTTAAATGAACACCAAGTGAAACTTATTACTAGAATTGCACTCGGAGGACATTACTGTTCAAGGCCAAACAACTCGACACGTCTGCGCAGCTCTTACAGTAGAATAATAGAGCAGAAAAAAGAAAGTAGTCTGAAACAAAAAGACGTCTGAAAATCAAACACATAAATCTGAACACTCCACACATTATTTTTCATTGATTCATAAATACTTTCTTGAGAAAATTTAAGAAAATGTGGATAAGGAAAGTGATTTTAAAAAAAAATCTTGTATCTGCCCCTTTTACCAGATTATTAAAAAGAAGATTATTAAATCGACCATTCACTGATAAATTGTGATTACAAATGACACCAGCACATATTAACTTAAATGTGTAGGTGCTAGTTTTTTCAGAATGTTTCCAAAAATGACAGACACGATGTTCTGAATTCACCCGTCACAAGTGGCTTAGTTTACTATTGATTTATTACCAACGTCTGATGGATCGATCGCTGTTCAAAATAGTAAAATGTCGTCACCGTAAAACAGACCTTTACTGGTGAGGATTTACTGACTCGTCTTGACACTGACTTGATTACGTTACCCAGACTCCTCCTGTGAAACTAATCTGTCTGAGTAAGGATTATCAGAGACTGTGTCACAAGAGGCAAAAGAATCTGTTGCAACTTTGAGCTTCTCCGAGATCTGTGATTTAAAAAAAAAAGGGTGAATGAACAAAAAAGCTGATTCTGGTTGTTTTAGGAAGATGTAATGTTTGAGAATAGTGGTTTTCATTAGACAACATGGAGCACAACTGTTATTCAGTTCCCAAAAATAAAACAGTAGTTGGTTGTAACTTTGGACGACACAATTGTTTGACTGCTGCAGAGATGCAACGGAAACCCAGAATGTATTCATTCAAGCTCGGACACAAACATCTGTAACCACAAACATCGAGGGACTCACGCTGTCTCTGAATGCAGCATCCCTCAGTAGAAGCCAATACAATCAGTGTTGGCCATAAGGATGCAAGACACACACACACACACACACACACACACACA